GTCCGTAAGTAATGGTCCATAGAGACATACTAGATTTTTTACTTCAAAATATTACGATTGGAGCCAACATGCCTTAATAAAATGTTGATAACAAAAAAGATACAGGGTGTCAAAGTTGGAAATTAAAAATTGAATTTTCGTAATAATTATAATATTTTTGAGTGTATGAACGTGAAAATTTAGGGGTAGATGTTTTTGTATACGAGAAATCATAATTTGTTATCTATTTCGATGTATCTTCTAGAGGGCGCCACATACGCCGTGTTTATGACATAAATACGAGCATAGATTTTTTAAAAAAAGAAGCGTTAACGTTGTGGATAAAAAAATTATGCTCGTATTTACGTCATAAACACGGCGTATGTGGCGCCCTCTAGAAGATACATCGAAATAGATAACAAATTATGATTTCTCGTATACAGAAACATCTACCCCTAAATTTTCACGTTCATACACTCAAAAATATTATAATTATTACGAAAATTCAATTTTTAATTTCCAACTTTGACACCCTGTATCTTTTTGTTATCAACATTTTATTAAGGCATGTTGGCTCCAATCGTAATATTTTGAAGTAAAAAATCTAGTATGTCTATGGACCATTACTTACAGACCACCCTGTATAATTCCACATTTTAGTGGAGAAAATAAAATATTCTAACCAAAATATTCTGAAAAAATATTGTTCCAATATTTTCGGTGTGTGCATTTTATGTGGCTTTAATTTTCACTAAGTTTTGCATCAGTTCTTTAAAGAAGTCTACTGTATACACAAAATATGGAAATGCTTGTTGCTATACCTACTCGTACTTTTATCATTTATTTTTTTATTTCGTAATAAAATTACTACTAATTAAGGACTTAAATATAGGTACTCATTATCCAATTATCAGTCTTTTAGAGATATTCATGCAGGTAATATTTTTGTTAAAATAGTGATTATAACATTATTAAGACAAGGTCAAAATGAAAGCTGGAGTTTTAACCAATATATTTTGTTTAAAATATACAACATTTCTGTACAGCTACTTCCTTATGTCACATACTTTTAAATCTTTCATAATAATTATTATCATAAATTATATTCAATTATTATTTAAAACAAACGTGCAGGGTGATCGAAATATGTTGGAAGTGAAATTAACTGTAGTGGATTTTGCCCAAATTTAGGACAATTTTTTTTATATATTTGATTTGCATTTTTTTATACTCTCAATTATATCCGACATACTAATAATTGAAAATCACTTTTAACATCATATAGTCTTAATATATGATAAACAGATAGTCTCAGAAACGTATTTATTCTTACTTTTTTATTTATTTATTTATTTATTTTAAGTTATTTAGCATAATAAATTAAATTTATCACTGATAATGATGCGACACTATAAAAATATTTGTAAATTTTCACATAAATTTGATTCATTCTGCAAAATAATTTATACAGTTTTATTGCTCCAAACACTTCTCCAACATCATCCGTTTTTCATGAAAAGGAAGATGGTATGTAAAGATGGGAAGTCCTTGCAAAAGTTATCAATAAAAAAAATCACCATTTATAGTATTTATAATCTATATGGTGAGTCAGTTTTTTGTAGACAAACTTTAACAGGAGATAGAACACATGTTTTTAAGGCTTCGTTTCTGAGATACGGGGTGTTGAATATATATATTTTTTTCTCGAATATTCATTATAACTTATAAACGAATGCTTACATTTTTTCATGTTTGAGAGATAATGCATATTAATTAAGGGGCATAAAACAAGCGATAAAAATGTTCAAAAACTTGCACAGTGGTGGAGTGGAGGTGATGCTCAACCCCTTTCTTAAACAGAACTTCTACGCCAATGACTATTTTTTTAAAAAACTGTTATTTTCATTATCTACATACAGTTTAACAAAAATAATGTCCCTTCTTCTGTTTCGAAATTCCTGTGCGTTTCCGAGTTATTTTGATTTTTAATATTTGTTGTGGTACTAGATTAAGTAATTTATTTATTATTAATTATCGGCTAAATATTTCATTCTTTCGACGAAACCTACCTAAATATGGTTTGTTAAGGATTTTAAAATCGTGCAAAAAATAGTATAAGCATCACGAACGTTAAGACATTGTCTTCGAACGGTAAATTACCCTTACCGTTCTTAATTCTTAATATACTATAATTAATCATGCACTAAATATATTCCTTACCTTCTAGGGTATCATGCTATGAAGTCAGCAACTTAACATTTCCAGACTCATTCCTGTTTGGGTCTGCCACATCTGCCTACCAGATCGAAGGGGCATGGAATGAATCTGGAAAAGGCATAAGCAGATGGGACTATATAACACATTCTATGAAGATAGTACTCGATGGAAGCAACGGTGACGTTGCTTGTGACTCGTATCACAAATACAAAGATGATATCGCTATCCTAAAAGAGTTAGGAGTGAACTATTACAGATTTTCTATTGCGTGGACGAGGATCTTACCTGATGGGTTCACTAATGATATTAATCAAGATGGCGTGGACTATTACAATAATCTCATTGATGGACTCATAGAGGCTGAAATACAACCTTGGGTAAATAATTTTTCCATTTTTAAAATTTGTAACCCATTTGATTGATGTAAGTGTTAATAGCTTCGATAAATAATACAAGTTCTTTTTTTTATCAGGTGACAATGTACCACTGGGATATTCCACAGGTATTGAATTACATAGGAGACTTCAACAACCCCAATACTTCCGATTATATGGTTTATTACGCAGACACACTGTTTTCATTATTCGGAGACAGAGTGAAAACATGGATTACGATAAACGAACCTATTACATTTTGCGCTCATTATCCACTCGGATCATTAGCTTTAGGCGCTGTATTGCCACCTGGAATTACAGAATACTTATGCGGGCATAATGTTCTTAGGGCTCATGCCAAGATCTACGATTTATATCAACGCAAATATAAAGAGAGCCAAAGTGGTGAGTAACACGTTAAAAGTATTTTTCACGTTAGTTATTTTCGATGCCAGCTTTTTTGCCATCTTTACATTTTTGCATACTGTAGATTCTAAAATCTACTTCAAACCCCGTAGTATTTGTTGCATAGAAGAGATTAATATTTATTACCGCATGAATAGCCATTCCGAAAACTGACGAATGTTTTACTTATTATATTGTAGCAACTACTCTGCGGATTAATGGCCAGCATTGAATTGTACTCGTAATATCCGGTAACCGGCAAGAGTTATTCGTTATCGGAAACCACCAGACGCATACAGCTTTCTTCTTTACCAACTTTGGGGTTGTAGACACTCATACTTAATTGTATACAGGGTGTATCATAATTAGTGTCTAATAATTTACCACTTGATTCTATTGCCAAATATAAGAATATTTTTTCATATAAACATGGGGTGAGAAATGCTACCTATGGGAGCTACACCCCCCTAAATGGGGCCTAAAAAAATTCATTTTCTTTAATATTTCCGAAATGGGTTGAAGGAAAATTATGAATTTTGACATCGTGAACGCTCATTAAAAGTCGAAATAGGTCGTCATAAAATTCTTCAAAAATTTTAGTCAGGAGCGTCCCAATTGGGGGGGAGGGGGTCGTCGGCTAAAATTTGCCCAATTTTTTTTGCTCGAAATTTTCAAATTCAATTCATTTTCATAATGCCAACATATGATAGACCCTCATTTCCTCTACAAAAAAAGTGCTCTTTATTTCTTTCGATAAAATGCTCCATTTTTGAGAAAAACGGATCTAAGCATTTCATTAAATAAATTATTAAAATTAAAAAAAAATTGAATAGCTGAAATGGGTACATGTACCATTATGAATTTTGATATATCAAGTTTGTTATGTGGGGAGTGTTCGGGTAAAATTTGCCCTAAATTTTTTACATGTTGATATTTTCAAATTTAAACAGTAAAATTTTATAGATCCCAGTTTTCTATTTAAAATGGCAATGTTGTTTTATATCGAAAAAGTAATCCGTTTTCGAGAAAAATCGGTTTAAGTATGTTATAACACTTTCCAAAGTGCACTTAAATCCGTTTTTCTTGGAAATGGAGCATTTTATCGAAAGAAATAAAGAGTACCTTTTTTGTAGAGGAAATAAAGTTCTATCATATATTTGCCTCTAAATTTGAAAATTTCGATAAGCAAAAAAATTGGTCCAAATTTTAGCCGACGACCCCTCAATTGAGACGCTCCTGATAAACATTTTTGACACATTTTATGATGATCTATTTCAACACTTAATGAGCGTTCATGGTGTCAATAATTTTCCTTCAATTTTTTGAGGCCCCATTTAGGGGGCGTAGCTTCCTTAGGAAGTATTTCTGTTTATATGAAAAAATATTCTTATTTTTGGCAATAGAATCAAGTGGTAAATTATTGGACACTAATTATGAGCACCCTGTATACATAATAATCTAAAATGAACATACATAATTATGGGACGTTCCATGTCAACTGGGATACCGTTCTCTAAATAAAATCAAGGAAAAAAATATGTTTAAGGTCTCAAAATCAACTCGAGAGCTTTCGAGTAAATGATGGCCATTTTTATTTTGGCGACTATAATTAGAAATTAAAAAAAAGTAGTTCATTACCTAGCTTAAAATCATCTATTCATGAAAAATACCACAATCTAACAGTAAACTTTAGGATTTTGGACATGCTGAATCCAAATTCCATATTCTTAAAGTCCAAAAGTGGTATCAGTATTAATAACAAACATTTTTGACCATTTTTTTGGGTTTTAGACCATATCTTTCTGGAAAAAAGGATTTTTTGTGTAAAAGTAGCTTCTTTTATGTTTTTTCACATACTGACTTTTAGCTATATGATTATGATGTCTTAAAAAGTTAGGGCAATTAAAACGGGCCATTTTTTGACCGTTTTTTGGCCATTTTTACAATATTTCTCCGCAAAAAAGGATAATTCCTTATAAGAAATTATTTTTATGTTTGTTGACATTCTGGCTTAGATTTTTGTTATCCCGAAAACTAATAAAATTTGAATGATGAGATCTAATAATTTTTTGACCTAATTTCTTTGGAAAATAGAATATTTGACTAGAAGAAGCTAAGTTTATATTTTTTGACCATCTGGCTTCAATTAGTGAAAAATTGAATTAAAAAAAAAAAATAGGTGATACGACCTGACCATTTTATATTACCATTTTTTGGCATTTTTTGACCACATTTATCTGGTAAAAATAATATTTGTCTAGAAAAAGCTGCTTTTATGTTTAAGTTCACACAAATTTGGATTGTAAAAATAGCCCTTTTTTAACACTCATAATTTTTTTTGTTTTGCAGGTAGAATAAGCATAGCTTTAAGCGCAGAATATGCAGAACCAGCCACAGATTCAGCAGCCGACCTTGAAGCGTCTGAAAGAAAACTTCTCTTTGATGTATGTTTGCTAACAATTTTATGTGACAATTATTCTTGAATTGTTACTATTAATCACTGAAATTTATGAAGAGAATATATTCAATTAACTTAGTTGTCTTTTTCAATTCAAGCACTTCAATACTATTATTTACATATTTGGATATTGTAGAATAAGTGAGTTATTTCATAATTTTGAATTTGTATATTTATTCTATTTTAGTTTGGCTGGTTTGCTTATCCGCTGGTCTATGGAAACTACCCTAGTGTGATGATAGACACTATTAGAAATCTCAGTTCTCTGCAAGGTTACCCTTTTTCACGTCTGCCAACCTTCACTCTTGAAGAAAGATTATTACTGAAAGGTGCCTACGATTTTATCGCACTAAACCACTACACTACATCATTGACTGCTGATGCCAGCGCAGACGTTAAAAGCCCTAATTTTTTAAATGACGCCTTAGTTAATCAATATAAGGATTCGTCGTGGGAGACCTCTTCTGCCAGCTGGTTAACAGTAAGTAAACAGTAAAACTAAAATAATTACCTATATCTATTTCTAATAATCTTCATTTGTACCGAGTTCTAAAAAACTTATTTAAATTTGGAGAATTATGTCACAGATACGTACAAACTTATTAAATTTAGCTTAAAGGAGATTTCGGAAGAAATTTCTCAAATGATACAAAGGCCCTATGTAACATTTTTCTAGAAGTCTCATTATAAAGTTATGAAAAATGTTCCTTGCTTTAGAAAAATGCCAATAACATTAATTAAGCATTATTTTTTAAAATTGAATTTCGGTTTAAATGGTATTAACAATTCCCTTTTTGTCAGTGGTGCACAAATTTATTAAGCAATTTAGCAATTTTTATTCACCAGTATCCTTACCAACGCTTCTGATAAAAGTAAAAAATTATGTAATATACCCAACGTTCCGTAAGGAAAAAACCGTAGATTTTTATAGGCGTGTAGGTAACACAAAAGTTATTCAATAGACCTTTTTAGTAGTGACGTCACATACGCCAAATATGTAATAGGCAACCCCATAGTACTCATCATTGTCATGAAGAATTTTTCAGGATTTTTACCAAATCGACCTTATGTACTTCGGACATGAGTGCAAAAAAAAATTTCTTCTTTGTCATGACCTTAAATATCGCGATATTCTGGCAATATTACAAAATATTTAAGAAGTTTCAAGCCCCAAGTGACAAACTAACAGAATTATAGAATTTATATTTTTAAATTTATAGAATATTGACTTTTATAGTAATGAATAAATTAAAATTATATCAATGTTACTGAACATGCACATTAAAGATAATGTAAGTCACACTAAAAGAGTCTATTTCCAATTCATATTTTATATATCGATGTTTTACTATTTTCGGACGTACTTTCCATTGCGAAGTTTGAAAGATTAAATTTAACCACAAGATATACCTAATACATTTCTCTCTTAATGCGGACTACAAGATATTTTTTTTTACACATTTCAAATTTTTTGATATTTTATTGTCTTAATATCTAAGTGTTCGAAAAAATGATTACACAAGAATTGTTGCTTTTAATAGGATAAATATGTTGTTACAATTTTGGCACATATTTCAGAAACACCTTGTATAAATACTATAAATATCAATACACTACAAAGCTTCACAAGTAAATAGATACTAAATGTCATATTTTAGTAGATAATATTACTTTAGAACTACAGTTTGTAACAATATTAATTCAGTCCAATTTGAAATTTTAAGTTAATTATTCGAAATTTAGTAATTGTCGCGTCAACTGAATAAATATAGTTAAATCTGAAGTTGCACATCATAAACATTGCACTCATTCTATTTTCAAAACTTGGTACCTACCTAGATGTCACAAAATTTTATAATATTCTAAAGATTACTAATATTGGGTGTCCCAATATTGACGCAAGAAGTAATATAGATAGATTCTAATCACCAAAACGGGAAATTACACGACCAATTTCCTGCATGCGGCACCAACTGGTTGAAACCTCGTGTCGTCTACATCCATATCTTGCAATTTAGGTACAAAAAACTGAATTAACATGTCGCGATAGCGAGCACCATTAACTATCACTGCCTGACCAGCCGCGTTTTCGAAATAGTCCGATGATGCCTCCAGCCCAAAATCAAACAGTGACAAGTTGTGGATGATTTGTTTCTCAACAGTCACTCGTGAATTTTCTGAACGAAACTATCAAGATGAAAATGAGGTTCATTGCTGAACATGATTTGATTCGATAAATCAATATCCACTTGTTGTTGTGTTGAAAGACTTGTTAAAGGACGGCCAGAGGGGATCCTATTTTTAAAATATTGCTCAACAATGAAAACGCATTGGTCTTTTGTGTAGCGCTCCATTTCTAATAATCCTGGACTGTCAGATGTTACGCTCTCATCTTTTTTCTTCTGGCCAATGGAGCAAAATTCAAATATTGCATGAATTTTGGGACACCTGATACTCTTATATGAGGACCTATAGCAATATAGGCAGATCAATATTCTTATAGTAAAGAGTTCTTGAAAGTATTGACAAATCCGAAGGTCATGTGTGTACTGATATGGGACTGGCTGAAAGAACTGAAATTCCTGATTCATCGTAACTAGTTAAATCGCTGTGACTACAAAAATAATTTTAATTTGATAGGCTATCACAAAAAAATACATCAAGCAAATAGACAATATTTTTTGGAAATACTTTAGAAGCCCTTTTTCATTATCACGTTCGTTTAGGTGAAGAAAAAAATCACTTCAGTCATTTCCGTTGTTACAGGTATATCCCGAAGGTTTCCGGAAATTGTTGGTGTACATTAAAAAGACTTACAATAACCCAGAAATTGTTATAACTGAGAATGGATATGCAGATGATCCAGGCGTACTTAACGACGAAGGACGCATTAATTACATTAAAGTAAGTAAAGCCCAATATGCCACCTAATCTTATAACAGCTGATTTAATACGGAAATTGAGAAAAGCAACGTTATTCTTTTGCAGTCCTATCTTAGTCAGTTGTTGAAAGCAATTTATGAAGATGGAGTGAACGTAACGGCGTACACGGCCTGGAGTCTAATGGATAATTTTGAGTGGTACAATGGATTTACGTAAGTCTTCGCTTCTTCCTACAATTTTCTTTAAAATTAAGATCTTACACATTTTAGAGTGCGGTTTGGATTATACAATGTAGATTTTGACAGCCCGAATAAAACTAGAACCGCAAAGGAATCAGCTTCTTACTACAGAAATATCATCGAAACAAGATGCTTGGTTGACGTATGTGAAGAATAACGTTCTGTTATTTTTACTGATTTGCTAATTTGTATTTTTATTTTACTGTAATAATTATGTAATATCTTAGGAAAGTGTCTTTATATTGTAACCCAAGACAAAACCACCATAAGGTGAACATCGAAGCGAGTTGAAAAAAAAAAACAATTTATTGCTGTGGTACAGTTGTTACGATATCAATTGGAACCTGTGAATCTTAAAGCACAGGACCGTCTGCACTTCTCTTGAAATTTCTTCCTGTGCTTTAGCCATTATGTCTCGTAATTTATACTCGAATAGCCATTGGGCGAGTCCGGTATTTGTAGACCAGTCCGCCTGATGTAGAATCAACGGCAAACTTGTATTGGTCGTAAATACTTTTTTATTACTCATGACGGATAAGTCCTATCTTTTCGCATGTTTTTTAGGTCGGTAACTAGCTGTTTGCCCATTCTATTTATTTGCGTGCGGTAATATTACTTATCGCACGCAAATTGCCAATAAAATACGCAAAATTTAAATACCTACACACTCGAAAATATTATTTTTAAAAAGTAACATTTAAATGACAGTTTTTATGTCAACTTAAACTGAATAAAAATATGTGGACCCCACCGGCGCTTCGCTCCTGGGACTCTAAGATTCCATTGCATTCGTAATAAAAAATAGTATGTGCAATTCGTGCGGTTGTCTGTTACCCACTTGAGCGGATGAGCGCACTCACTTTGTTCGTGCGCTCAACTCCGCTCTCGTGGGCAATAGACAACTTACCGCACTTATTGCACAATATACTATTTTGCATGGTATTCTATAATTATTAGTTTAGTGTCGAACGCTGTTCACTTGGTTTTGCCAGTGCAGTGGAGAGCAGTGCTTGGCGTTGTTGTTTGTTTGTATAATATGTATTATTAATTATTAGTTAATATTAATGTTTGTTCATATCGTAACCAGTCAAGAGTAATAGTTATTAAAATAAATATTATATACGTAATTATCTAGTAGTTTAGCATGGCGAAGGTTTGAAAAGAGAAAATTGTGAACTGTAACCTGAGGGGTTATTTCTTTAATTATCTATCTACCGTTATGACCAGTATCATAACGAGTCTGGATGTCAAAAGAGTTTACTATTCTCGATAGGAAGTTTATAATTATCATCACCTTTTAATTAACACGTGGGAACTTAGAAATGTTGTGTGTTCAGAGAATGAATTTCAAGCACTTACCATCCATTGCTTACGTAGAATGTAATCCAGTGACTGGCTGTACAGGGTGATACTAAAGTTGAGAGAAACAAAAGGAAATACCAAAACTTCCAGGAAGGGTTTTAATAACAATAAACAAAACAAACACACAAAATAAGGACACAACTACTCGAACAGCATTATTAATTTATTTATTTACACGCGACAGCGTACCGAGATTCAGGGAATGTGAGATTCATAGCAAAATTTGGAAAAAAATGTATCCATTATTAAATTTAATTAATTAGCCCGAGACTCCAAAACTAAGTCGACTCTCAATGTGGAACCTAAGGAAGAACTGACTTTTTTGGTAGATCTCTCCCGAATTCGACACTTCGCTTCGACACGCCCATTTTTTGAGTCCAGACGTTTCTGTTAACTTACTGGCGGGAACCCTGGATATCGGACGCTTTGGCATAACTATGCCATGTTAATAGTTATCTAAGTAATTTTGAGACTAAGCTTACAAATAACCCTAGCCTTCCTCTAGTGACTCCGTGTAGCGATACGGGACGGATTAGTCGATCTCATTTAATATATCCTTATAGCTTGGACAATCCGCCAAAAAAACAGTTATTTGATCTGTTACTTTCTTTTCCAATTACTATCAATTTAGCAATTTGATTTAATTCTACTTTGGAACCTCTACGCTCTTCTCGTGGTTACTTGCTTAACACATGGCCCCGACTCTAGGTGAACTTGTCCAAAAAATATTGCTAAATTTCGTGAAGCCTTCCCCGAAGGACGGTCTTGGCGACGTTAACCTACTTGAAAACCATTAGCTTTCCGATAAATTAGTGTTGACTGAAATATTTTACTTTTTGGCCCATACGTTCCGAGAACTAACAAATAAATCACTATACGTCCCGGCTTTTGTTACAGAACAATGTGATAAAGAAATTAGGAAACGGATTATCGAATTAACTACGATATCAAAAACGTCAATTTATCGCGTAATTAAAGGAGACGTTATGTATAAAGAAAATAAAGCTCCTCCTTTAAACACGTTTCGATATAAATTAAGCGATTATCCTGATTATAATTATAAATCTTTTTACGACAAGTATTACAATGCGGTTTTAAACATAAAAAACTTGACAATCGTATGGTAATTATGGAATCACGACGTATAGTTGCACTTCGGGAAGATTACTTACAAACAATTTGAGAATATCATCAACTAAATAGGAATAGGAATATAGCTCGGAATATAGAATATCTAAACGAGACAGGGCAAAATTTTTCTGGACGCCTATGGATTCCGTAGAGTTTATGAGTTAAATATTTTTATGCGGTTCCAAGTGATATCGTAACGACTATACATATACCATTTTCGTGACAAAAACTAGAAGATATCATATTCCCGCAAATTAAAATCGGTTTACTTGGCGCATGACGTCATATGGAGGGTGATTTAAGAGGTTCGTTAATAAAGTTTGTGCTAATATGGTAAGGATTGTACAACAAATGGAACAACGCATTTCAAAAAAGTTATTTGTATATTACTACTTTATATTTAACAATTATTTCCACATACATAATTTTTATTTTCAGTTAATTTGAAGTGTCTATAAAGTAATGACATTGTAGTTTGGATTTATACTTGACATATGAGTTATGTTTATTACTTAATCTTAAAATGATTCTTTTCTTAGTATACAGACGGATTTCGCGGTGTAAGATGTTGTTATGTTATCCCTTCAATATTCTGAGAGGATAGTAGCAAGAGAAATATTAAAAAATTGTTAAGTATGGGCAAGTGCTATGTTAAGTCCGACTATTAAAGGAAATGTACTGAATTAAAGGACTGACAAGTTCTAAAAACCTATAATTTTATTTCATAATACAAAAAACCATTTATGAACTATCTAGTAACTTAACGATCATATAACACTAAATTACCATTTATCTGACGATTATACATTAGTTATCTCGGTGCACTTAAAAGACACATTAAAAATATCGGGATACTTATTGTTAATTATGCAATCTATATTAATATTAACGAGGTATCTAAAGCCCAGTGGTGCCTCGTGACCATTTTTACTAGGTGTACAAAAAAAACTGTTTTTAACTTATTTTACAACAAACCAATATGGTTTTAAAATCCCGCGTATATTTTATATGCAAAAAATTTAGTTTGATATACGGCACTTGTGACATTACCTTTTTTACAAATCACCAATTTTGTGCCAAATTAAATTCAACAAGTGTGTTAAAGGTAAGTTTTGCCAAACTTTAATACCAATGAAAATAATCAACTTTTACCCCATAAAAATTTTTGATAAGACGCTTCCCTACGGAGATACAGGGTGTTAAAACTTTCAAATATTTATATGATTTTTCCTGTAACTTCAGTGGCAAAAAATATTTAGTGATAAAATTTGAGGGATGACATTTTTTTAGTAGGGACTATTTTTTCATGGATAACTTATTCCAAAATATACTCAAATGACATATTTATTAGGGGAGTAAAGGACCTATTTTGAAAAAAAATCGTACGTCACTGGCTTTTTAAATAATTTTAAATGTTTTTTAAATGTACAATCAATTTCTGGCAATAAAGTATTCTTGAAAAGTATTCGTAAAATTTACTGGTCAGCTCAGCTCATTGTCAGCTTTGAATCAAATTGAGCTTGTTGACATCTTTTCACATATGTAAATGAAGATAGCTCCAGACTTTCTCATCGTGATCAACACCGAACAATACATACGAAAAGCAAAAAAAATTCTGGACAGCAACAAATCTAGTTGTTTCGTAAATATATCTGTATTAAAATGTCTTTATTTAAACTAAGTACTTCAGATCTAAATTAGCTGGACATAATGTTAATAATGAAACGTAACCACCCTTTCAACCGCCACGAAGATACTAAACCNTTGTTTGTATAATATGTATTATTAATTATTAGTTAATATTAATGTTTGTTCATATCGTAACCAGTCAAGAGTAATAGTTATTAAAATAAATATTATATATGTAATTATCTAGTAATTTAGTATGGCGAAGGTTTGAAAAGAGAAAATAGTGAACTGTAACCTGAGGAGTTATTTCTTTAATTATCTATCTACCGTTATGACCAGTATCATAACGAGTCTGGATGTCAAAAGAGTTTACTATTTAATTCTCGATAGGGAGTTTATAATTATCATTACCTTTTAATTAATACGTGGAAACTTAGAAATGTTGTATGTTCAGAGAATGAATTTCAAGCACTTACCATCCATTGCTTGCGTAGAACGTAATCTAGTGACTGGCTGTACAGGGTGATATTAAAGTTGAGAGAAACAAAAGGAAACACCAAAACTTCCAGGAAAGGTTTTAATAACAATAAACAAAACAAACACACAAAATAACGACACAACGGCTCGAACAACATTACTAATTAATTCATTTACACGCGACAGCGTACCGAGATTCAGGGAATACGACATTCATAGCAAAATTTGGAAAAAACTTTATCCATTATTAAATTTAATTAATTAGCCCGAGACTCCAAAACTAAGTCGACTGCTCAATGTGGAACCTAAGGAAAAACTGACTTTTTTTCGTAGATCTCTCCCGAATTCGACACTTCGCTTCGACACGCTCATTTTTTGGGTCCAGACGTTTCTGTTCTTATCTTACTGGCGGGAACCCTGGATATCGGGACGCTTTGGCATAACTATGCCATGTTAATAGTTATCTAAGTAATTTTGAGACTAAGCTTACAAATAACCCTAGCCTTCCTCTAGTGACTCCGTGTAGCGATACGGGACGGATTAGTCGATCTCATTTAATATATCCTTATAGCTTGGAAAATCCGCCAAAAAAACAGCTATTTGATCTGTTACTTTCTTTTCCAATTACTGTC